CCTCAGCCCACCATAGGTACCATTAGTTCCATAGCATGAACCTTTTTTAGGCATTAGTGACTGGAAGAGTTTTGTTCTATTACTTCACATTTTCCAGACCCACTTCACACAGATGGAATCTCTTATAATCCTATAAGGCCAAACACAGAGGGGAATAGTGCCAACAAGGTTGGGCCAGAACTTGTGTTAGTGCAGATAGAATGGTCTCATTTCTTCGGACATCTTGATCAGTCTTTCTGCACTGAGTTTGGGAGGTTTCAACATGGAGGACCACTCAGACATCATTCATTCAACCAACACTGCGTGAGCGTCCATGGCCAGCCTGGCCCTATGCCCACCTGCCACCACCTTCCTTAGCCACTACAGTCCTGGGGTTAAGCATCCTCATTTCATCAATGATGAAATTGAAGCCCAGGAAACAAGCAGCGGGGCTGGGATCCAGAACAGGGCCTTTGAGCCCCAAGACCTTTGCCCCAGTACCTCTCAGCACAGTGCTTCATGCTGCTGAGGTTTTAATTGTACATGTCTCCAGTCTTTAGAGCACCAGGCTCCTCAGGGAATCCTTGGAAAATGGCCATGTTTGAATCAGGGTCTTAGAAATTCCAGATCATTAAACTCCAGTGGATAAAGTTCCTGCTTGGCTCCTGCCTGTGTGACAAAGGCAGAGAAATAATAATAGATCTTGTTAATAAAGACAGTGGTGCTTGTGGGCTGGGCGAAGGCTGAACGCTGCCCTTGCTGTTTTGTGGCAGTGTGCCCTGCGAAGGGGAGGCGACCTTTATATTTAGTTAGCATAGTTCATCCTTTCCAGCATTGGCTTTGGAATCCATAGGTGAGAACATGAAAGTTCTAAGAAAATAAGCATCATGCTGCTGGGGTATGCACAGCAAGAATCTGACCTGGGTCTAACTGGTCGACAGGTGTCTTTCTAAGTTGTCATGGTACAGAAGTAAGTTCAAAGATTCTGAATTAAGTGTGTACACACACACACACGCGCGCGCGCGCACACACACGCACGCACAACTTCTGCTGTTTATTAAAATTTTCAGGAAAATATGGAGGGCCACTCTCAGTCAGAAATTGGGCAACAACCACACCACAGACGTGAACCCAGTGTAGGGAGCTGGGTTTTATATTTGATGAGCATGACCCATACTTTCCAGCACTGGCTTTGGAATCCACAGGAGAGAGAGGCCTGTGTCCTGATAAACTAAATGAGTGTGAACATATACCTGAAAACAGTTCAGGTGTGTTTAATGGTGTGGGTAAATGCAACAGAGGCAGGTCAAATACACAGTCCAGAACAAGGAAATAACAGAGGTAAATTGTACATCTCCAAGAGACAGACATCTGATTTTGAGAAGTGGACTCACGGTGTACATGAAGTCTGAGCCCTTTTCCCCCATTTGTTAAAATGAATGTGGTAAGAATCACGTGGAAAACATAGGTGATGTGCCTGGTCCAGCACCTGCCACATAGGGGATTCTTTTTTCTTTTTTTTTTTTCTTTTTTTTTTTTATTGTTGGTCGTTCAAAACATTACATCTAATTTGATATATTTCACAGTTTGATTCAAAAGGGTTATGAACTCTC